ACTTCTTAGCGTTGAAGAAAATCATCACACATCAACACGTAGGATTGGAAATGACTTTGGGATAAGTCACATGTCGGTTCACAAAGCCCTTAAAGCCGAGAAATTTCATCTTTTTAAGGTTCAGTTAATTCATGAATTGAACGAGGACGATTTTGACCGCAGAATTGAATTCTGTGAACTCATGATGCAACGGTGTACTTTGGATCCAATGTTCAAAAATAGAATTGTATTTTCAGATGAGGCTTCATTTAGTCTTCATGGCCACGTGAACAGACAAAACTATAGGTATTGGTCTCCTGAAAATCCGCATTGGACTCAAGAATGCCATACTCAAAATCCCCAAAAAATCAATGTTTGGGCAGGCATTGTCGGGACCAAATTAATAGAGCCATTCGTGATCGAAGGAAATCTAAACGGAAACTGTTATCAGGAGTTACTGCGAGAGTCGATAGTACCGGCCATTGCCCATGAGTTTCCTCCGGAAGACGAAGAAAATGTTGTCAACAAGAACATTTGGTTTCAGCAAGATGGCGTACCACCTCACTATAACGCTGAAGTCCGAAATTACTTGGACAAAGTTTTTCCAGATCGGTGGATAGGGAGGCGGGGAGCTATTGAATGGCCTGCCAGATCACCCGCCTTGACGCCGTTAGACTACTTTTTGTGGGGCCACCTAAAAAGTAGAGTATTTGTAAACCGCCCAGAAAACATCCAAGACCTCACAGCAAGAATAATAATGGAAGCTCGATCTATTAATGAAGAAACGCTGTCCAGGGTGGTAAATGAATTTTACAATCGGTTGGGGCTCTGTCAAGTTTCTCTTGGGCATCAGTTTGAGCATTTGTGAATATTAACAAGTACGTAAAGATGATTATTGCAATTACATTTATTATTTAGTTTAGGAATTCTATTAATTTTGATGGCAATTGTGTTTTTGTTGTTATAGGGTTGTAGTATTATTGTAATTATTTGGTATTCTATTTTATTGTATTATTTGGTATTCTATTTTATTGTATTATTTGGTATTCTATTTTATTGTATTGGTAATCAATTTTTACACTATCAAACATTAGAGTATAAAGGAAAAAAAGGTGTTCCAGACTTAATTCACCCGTTCAACCCTAAGTACATTTTAAGCCGCCATATAAGACAGAATGCAAAAAAAAATTTTCAGACACATCGTTAAATTTGTTTTCTAAATACCTTTAAAATGAGGGGTCACAAGATGGGGGTTGTCATTTGAAAATTTTTAGTTACCCCCACCCCCACCTTACCCTTAAGGGGATTTTTTTTCAAAATTATGAAAAAGTGCCAAACATTTGTTCTTACTCAGTCCCGCAAATTAATTCCTTCTATCTACAAAGAGTAAAAAAGATAAGAAATGTGTGCCATACCTAATTTACCCGTTCAACCCTAAGTACATTTTAAACCGCCATCTTGGATAGGGTGCAAAAAAAAATTTTCAGACACATCTTTGGATTTGTCTTCGAATGACCTTTAAACTGAGGGGTCACAAGATGGGGGTTGTCATTTGAAAATTTTTAGTTGCCCCCCACCCCCCCTTGCCCTTAAGGGAATTTTTATTTTCAAAATTTGTAAAAAGTGCCTGACATTTGTTATTAATCAGGCCCGCAAATTGATTTCTTCTATCTACTATAGAAAAAAAGATAAAAAAATGTGTGCCAGACTTAATTTACACACTGTATAATGTCAATGGCAAATAAAGATTTCTATTCTGTTATGAACATATGAAGCTAATTGTCATCATAGCAACCTGTTATATTTTTTATTCAATGATATTTATTTTTTTGTTCTGATTTAATACAACACAGTTTACTTTTATTTCAACTCTCTGTCTTTTTACGATTCAAATATTCCACTCGAGTCATCTCAGTTAGGGGTGTGCGAAGAAAAAAAGATAAAAAATGTGTGCCAGACTTAATTTACACACTGTATATGTATTAGCAACAGTCAAGAATATAACTAGTCAAAGGTCATAAAACATAAAACTTAAAAGCTAAAATACAATTTTTTTTTCTCTAAAAACTCTGAGAGGGAATAAAAGGGAGTTTTTAAAAGCCAATTATAAAATTGTTTTAAAAACATTGAGTGAGTTGGATATGATTGAACGATTTTACTGAGTTTATTATATATTATCTGTGACATCACTGGCTTTTTAGAGTCAAATTTAATAATAAAAAAAACTTCTTTTTATATTAAAATTGTTTCTTGTATTGTGACTATGGATCTTGTTACATAAAGTTTGAAAGGGTAATTTTTTAAGGCTGTAAGTGTAAACCATGATATCATATATGTACAAATTAATAGCTGTTTGGAATTTAAGTTTAATAAAAAGAGTTTTACAATGAGTAACAGGATGTTCATTACATATAATTCTAACAATATTTTTCTGAATCAGTAAAATATCCTGAATTCCTGAACTGCTTCCCCAAAATATCAAGCCATAGCGATAAATACTTTGAAAAAGGGCAAAATAAGACATTCTTACATAGCTACTGTCAACAAGTGTGATCAGTCTTCTAACTAGATAAACAACGCGAGATAATCTTGTAGACAGATAATCTATGCGATATAATCTAACAGCCACCCACTACCAGTACATTATTTTTAATGTCTTAGATGGTCAACCAAGACAATTTGACGCGTTTCGGCAAGAGCGTGTTCGGTGGATCACCAAAACTGAACGTGGCCAGATTGACCAAAGCCACCCATGGGGAGCATCTGGCGTGGCAAATGCAGAGGGATAATTTACATCTATTATGGGGCTCGGCTTGCAATAAGTCTGTGCCTTGCAGGAGAGAGTGAGATAAGCGACACGTATGCTGGTGGACTGCTAAAATTGCGGATTTGCATCAAGCTGCCTTAAGAGCTGGACATTTTCCGTCATGGAGGGCCCACTAGTACAGTCAAGTAGTCAAGTCCCTCTTTCCGGCTCACACCCTGCGCCTGTGGAGGGCGTCCCACTACTCAGTCATCAGAAGGTGGAGACAGCCTCTCTATGTCTATGTCATCTGCCTACCAAACAGTGTCTGAACCCGCTGTCTTGGTGGAGTATTTCCCGTAAAACTTTTGGTGGGATAAAGGAATGTGATTTATTAGCAGTGTGGGAAGGATCATGCAAAAATAGAGGAGGGCATCTGCACCTACCAGCTCTGGCAGGAAAGCTGGGATCAGGGGTCCCGGGGACGCTGGACCAGGAAACTGATTCAGAGAGTCCAACCAAAGGTTGATCGAGAAATTGGGAGATATGGATTATTACATCACCCAGTTTCTGAGGGGTCACGGATTTTTCGGTCATACCTGTTCAGGATTGGCAAAGTCATGTCACCAAATTGCATCAACTGCCCGGGCACTACCGATACTGCGGAACACACTTTCTCCCACAGCCCGGTTTTGGGAAAGGCCAAGCCTGGAAGCTTTACAACATGTAGTACTGTTGTCGGTAGATACGGTAATCCTGATGATGACGGAGGGTGAGGACAATTGGACCTTTGTGTCACAGTTTGTCCAAGGTTTTCTCCGTCCCAAGAAGCTCGACCTTGACTGGGATGCGGCCTGGGTCATAAAGGAATTGAATGCCAAAAACTATGCAAGCCCTGAGGGCTTAGGTCACATGTTGGCCTGACCTGAAGTAATGTGACAAACAATCGCAGGTCTGTGTCCAACAGAGTAGAGGGCATACTTGGGAATAACGAATAGAATTTCTAATGAATAGCAATATTCGTTAGTTTTTTCAGCTAACTTCTATTTTATTCGTTAGTTTTTTAAAAGTGCTGGAAATAACTTCTACTCAGTTAGATTCATAGCTAACGAATAGATAATATATTCGTTAGTTTTAAATTGTTAGATTTTAGGGCAGGCAGAAGTATCTCAAATACGGGTAATTTATTTTGTGTGATCAGTGAGGGTTGCGTGCGGCCATGAGGGGTCAGCGCCCTTGTTGACAAAAAACGCGGGGGGTGGGGAAAGAGAAAGTCAAAGTCCAGTTGCTTTGGTATACACAGTGGGTTCGTGGAAGGGCAGTGACGGCCAATAACAACACCCCAAGCACCGAAGGTGGGAAGGGGTGATTTTTGTTTGGTGATTATACACTCAAGTTATTATAAGTGTCAAAACATTGTCCTCAGTTGATGTTCATTATCTGACTGTGACAAGTTTTAAGTAATTTATTTCTGTTGTTACTACAACTATGTAGGTTTTTTAGTGAGTAGTCTGATGAGTTCAGATCACTACTGGTGTACGTAAAAGCATTTTTACCCCTTTCCCGTTAAAAAAGCTTCAAACTTGAGTGTCTAAACTTGTATCTAAATTGTATCAAAAGTGAGAGTCTGCCTGCACAACGTGACTTGGCGCGGTGGGAAACCCATCTTGTATTTTTCAAAATACACCCAAACTACATGACCTATCAAATTGTTTAAAGCTAGAACTAGAAAACTCACTCTTTAGCTACAGTATTAATTATTTTTTTAACTTACCTGACCATAAATAAAAAAAGGTATCATTCGACAAACTTTTTCATGTCATATTTCAAAAATCAAATGAAAGAACCAACTTTATTTGAATATTCAAAATATAAAATTTAAGTTTTCAAGCTTTTAATTAGGAACTAATAGTGTCCAAGACTTATTGACTTTACTCATCAAAAATTTCAACCATATACCTTTACTCTAAGTAGGCTAGATGCCGAGTTATTTGGAGGGGGAACATTGAGTTTTTGCACCGTTTTCATAAACATCAAATACTTGCTTAAGATGGCTGACTGTGCTTCAGTTGCTAGAATGTTAGTTGGATAGGTGTGCTCCTTTTATTGGTCTTATGTTATGATCGGATGTAACACAATATCATAATACAATTTCAATTTGTGCAAAATGTACAAGTTTTGAAATTACTTTTTTTGCAAATATAGTTACAATAAATCACGTTCTTTTATAATGATAGTGTATACATGTGGACATGTAGTAATATTTTTTTATATCTACCTGATGACATGAGGTATGGATAGAGAGACCAGCAGTTTGACACTAGTGTCTGCCTTGAGTAATCGGTATGTGATCTCTCCCTCCCCAAGACCAGTTTGTGCCAGGGTTGCTACCTCTCCCAACACACGTGTCCCTTCCCCCAATATCCTTGCACACTCCCCACAACTCTCATGGTTTGGACGACACAGCCGACACTGTACCTCTAACACAAACTGGTCATCTAACAATTGCCGGTAGTAGTTCTTATTCCTGTTTAAACACACAAACAATATGTTATTGGCAAATAATCATCACATTGTTGGTTTATTTAGATGTTTTTAGGTTGACACAACTGATTTTAAATTTTGTATGACCACAATTGTAAAAGTTTTACAGTTAGTATATACTTGATAATCTTGTACGTAAAAGATTAAAAACTTTGTCGATCTCAAGCTGAATGTAATAAGTTTTTTGAAGGTTTGTTTCCAAAATATGAATAGATTATGAATTCTGATTATTCTGACGAATAAGTAGTAATAGTAAGTAGTAAGTAGTAGTAGTGGTAGTAGTAGTAGTAATAATAGTAGTAGTAGTAAGTACTTAGTTTATAGGCTACAACTTACTTAGCAATGTTGCACAGTAGTCTTCCTGCACAAGGATTTGCATCCCTCACCAAGCTTATGTAGTCAATCAGGGTGGATATAGTCCCTTTGTTGACAAAATCTTGAATGGGGATTGACACATAGTTGGTGATGTGGTACAAGAAAGATAAAATCATTTCTTCTTCTTTTACTTCGCCTGAATCATCTTCAACCTAAACAAAGATTACATTTACAAAAATTTTAAAACTTAGGTCCATTTTTATAGATTTTAAATTAATCCAAAGTAACTATTCCACCACTTAGAAAACAAGAAACAATAGCATGCAATATCATGAGAGACCTACAATAGTGTTACTGTTGCAGCATAAACCTTGATATTTAGACAATGTTTGGAATTCCATTTTACATATTCTACGTTAATGTGCTTAAAAACAAATACACAATAACATTTAACGTTTCATTATTTAATTCATTCATTATTTTTGCGAATTTAAAAAATTTCAATTTACGTGACCTACTTTAAGAAAACTAGAGTAGGCCTACTGATCAAGATTCTAATGGTTTTATTGTATTCACTGGATTAGTTAGAGAATGTCTTTAGCTATAAATATGGCCACACTACTTTGGAAATAAAATAACAAACGCTCAACTACCAATTTAGTGTGATTTTTATCACTCTTAATATTTACTATACATAGTTTGTCATTTATCAAATAACAATAATCTGTTTAGAGAATACGTCATCTAACAAACAGTTGTTTGGATATAGATTCTTCTGAAAGATATTTTATTTTGTTTAACATTAACTTAAAATGAATGAAGAACAATTTAAATGACTCATGAATGTTTTGGCTGCAGCTCTAGGTAATAAAACTCCAACTGCTCAGATTGTTCCTTTTGAACATTTTGATCCTAATAATGATAAATTTAAATCATACCTGTTGCTCAAAATCGAGCAATTTTCAAGTACCGGTATTAGGCCCCCCATACACGTAACGATCGGCCGGCCGGCCCGGCCTGAACAGTCCACGCCGGCCGGCCGATCGCTACGTGTATGGGGTCGTCGTCCGGCCAACCCCCGCCTTCAGGCCGATCGTTACGTGTATGGGGTCGCCGGCAGGCCACCGGAAGGCCGACAGTACAGTAGTAGCATTATTTCTGTTATTTACGTTCATTTTTAAGGTCAGGCACGGTCATTGACATAACCTAACTTTATTTTCTGTTCAGTCTTTGTACTAATATAACTACGTGGACTAATCAGCATGTGCTAGCCTTTATAGAAGAATACAGAAAACATGAATGTCGGCGGAAAGTCAAAACAAAGGCATACCACAACAGGGATTTAAAAGATCCAGCTTATAGCAAGTTAACAAAAACGTTTTTGCCGTACGAAAACTGACAGCACACTTGCCACTAGGCGGAGAAATTTCAGTCCGGCCGGCAGGCGAATCGTTGAGTGTGGGGACCCTCCTTTCACAGGCCAGACTGTTCAGTTTGGCCTTCCGGCCCTCGCCGGCCGGCCGATCGTTACGTGTATGGGGGGCCTTATACAGAAGTTATTTTAAAACTACAGTAATAACGGTCATAATTTTCGATGAGTTTAAAAGACCCGACTAAATACTTATGTAACTAATTGAAATACTCACGCTATTTAATAGCGCTTTGAAATAATTAACGCTTCTTGTAAAAATATTTTAGAATTTTTTGGACCCGACCTTATTTTTTAGTGTTTTCTACAAATGTTTCCCAACTTAAAGCTATTACCAGTTAAACATTTCTTGCATGTATTTATTTGATCTGACTTTAGTTAGGTTTACTTTATTATTGTGACAACATGAAGTGTCCATATTCTTCAGGGGTTTTTTTTTTACTTCCAAAAAGTTGCTTAGCATAACTGGCAAAAATGATTCATCTCCCCAAGTGATTGTGTACCTGGATTCCTTACTGTGAGACCAGGCCTCTCCTCTACTCTTCCCATACGTTTAAGATTTCCTATTAATTGTCTCATCCTCCTGTTTTCAATATTTCTCCTTTAAACTCAAGAAATTGTCTGTTCTTCCAACAAAACTGATTGACTGTTTGGATTTGTCTATAACCTCCTAAATATTACAAACATCAATATTTACTCCCAAAAAGCTGGTTAGTTTCTTTTTGTATACAGCTGTTGTTTTATTTTTTATTTTGATTTCAATGTAATTCTTATGGGGAAAATGCAACCTTTGAGAGCGTCTCGTGCCCTTAAGGGTAAGAGTTTTCAAATTCTAAAACCTTTATGCAAAACTACGAATTGAGAGGAATTATTTGACACCTCAAACGTTAAAAGCGATCCAGAAATAACGGAGGAATTTTGTAAAAAAAAAAAAACAGCCCTCACGTATTAATATAAGAGATCCTTATAGCACATGTCTCCAATTTCAGTATAACCAGCTGTTTCAAATATTAGTGTCAATTTTAAAGTATTCATCTGTTCAAATGTAAACAAACATTTTCCCCTAAGAATAACATGGGAACTTTGAAGGCCACTGGGGCAGAGCCCTGATGGAATTCCCAAGTTTTTTTGTTTGATGGCAAAACTATGCTAAGACCTTTCTAACGACACCTTGGACATGGTGATCGATAGCACCACCGCTCTAAAACAATTATGACAAAAATATGCCTAGCGTATTAAATATATAGATTAGGAACGTTTTGAAAATTATTGCAATTTGAAGAACAGACTATATGAAATCTCAACTCCTGTGCTCATCTATTGGTAAGGAACAAAAAGACTTAAATTTTTCAAAATTAATCGAACATTTCACAGTGATGTTGTCGCCTTCAGTATCTCATATTGTTGCACAACACTATTTCCTCAGTGTTTCACAACAGTTACATCAATCTATCTCTGATTTTGTCACAGTCCTGAATAGTAACCTGAATGATTGTAATTTTTACACTTCTTGCAATGATTGCGAAAGTAAAATTTTAATTGTTGATGAATTTCTTCTTCTTAAAGCTACTCGTTTAGGAGTTACAGCATGGTACACCTTAAAAAGAAATACCAAGTGTTCCAATATTAAAAGTTAGCTGCCATTTTTGAAATAGCAGAATCAATATTTTTAACGTAATTTATAGTATTTTTAGAATGTAGATTCGATTTTAAGACATTTATTCTTTGCATTCTCTCTAACTAGGGTTGGGTGAGTACTCGACCTTCGAGTAATTACTCGAGTTTTTTCAAATACTTGACTTCGAGTCGAGTAGTAATTACTACTCGAAAATTCGAGTCGAGTAGTTATAAATAGTGCCACTTCACGATTTTCTACACCCGTATTTAATAAATTATATTTTGTTTTGTGTTGATGCCTTATTTAAAACCCATTCCTACAAAAAACAGCTATCTAAACTCATATAGGTTAGACCAGCGTATACCAAATATTCAACAAACAACCATCGTCATTCGGCAGAGCTAGCAAGAGGACTACTTAAGACTTTCACTTTCCTACAACAGCCAACAATACATCTCGATAACGATACAGTAAGTTGAAATAAAGCATTGAATGAATCTATCGAATTGCAATAGTCGATAGTCAACAAGGGAGTCTCGTGACTAGTATAACAATGGCAGACGATTCTTGAGGATAAGATATTATAAAGTACAGAATCAGATTTAGTTTGAACTGTCATACAAATATTTTATACCAAAATATAGAAATACAACAAATAAAGATAACCTATTAATTATTGCATAATATTTTTTTCTCTTTAATCGGTATTGGTGTTTAGTCTTACAAATCGATAAGTTACTGCAAGGAACATCGATGCATCTGAATGACGCAATCTCATTGGGTCTTAGCATAAAGAAAAGATCAGTTCCACTTCAAACTCAGTTTTGCCAGATGGACGATAATTTTTGTACTTTTACAACTGTGGTATTGGCGTAAACAAACTAGGCCTATAAGTATAATTTTCTAATGAGTTTACATAAAAATGATTTAAATTAGTCAAACTATTCACTTTTTTTACAAAATAAAAGCTATAGCAATTTTATGATAATTTTGCCGACATTCACCATAATGGTGTAATGATAAATATGGCAACGTCAGCCCTGCAAAACAGCTATTTGATGGGAAAACAAAGCAGAATCAGAATGAGCAGACTGAATAGAGAGAGAGAGGGGGGGGGGGAGAGAGAGAGAGAGCAGATAGATATGGTGACGGCTGGCGTAACAACAAAACAATGGATTGGAGTGAAGTTATGTCAACGTCAGTTTTGAATGTTTTTACTTTGAAGTGAATTTGTAACTTAAAATAAAATTGATTTTGTTAGTGGAAGTTTAATAGAAAGTAAAATAAACATATTCTGTTTGTGATTTTGATTGTGCAATTTTCAATCTGGTGGCAGAAACATGACAGTTTGAATTGTAACTTAACCTAGAAAGATGTGAGTTTATTAAAGAAAGGCCAAATAGGTTATAGGCCTACCGGGCTACAGTGAAATGTGTTTTAATTTTAAATTAAGTGTTTAATGTGGGATTTTATTTCAAGATAATAGGCCTACTACGTTTTTGTTTGATATTTTCAGTCTGTCAGAGACGAGTGACTTGATCATTTTTATAAATGTGAAGAGGATAGCCCTAGTACCCATAACCTTCAAACTTAATGCAGATGAAGTGCTTATCCAAGTGATTATTTTAAAATACCTAATTGCATATTGATGTTTTTAACTTATGATACAATATGTAGTTTGATATTTAAGTTTTCTGTATTATAAATAAATTTATTTTTACAAATTCTGTTTCTTATTTGAATTGAAATTAGGGTATTCTTAAAGTTACCTTATTAAGTTAGTTACCCAGGTTGATTTATCATGTTAGTGAGGAGGAATTAAAGGCAAGAAAAAATAAAACACACAATAACAAGTGATGTGTAGGCCAAAATTTAATGCTGCAGCCAAAGGCCACATTTTTTATTAGGCCTAAGGTAAGAGGTACTAATAATTAGTAACCATTAGTGATGGTCAAAACCAGAAATTTCAAATCTCAAAATCGAAACCGAAACTTTAAAAATCGAATCCCGAATCTCGAATCTCAAAACCTAAACGCAAAACTTTTTTACTTAGCTGTTTACAAAGGTCAAGGTTACAAAAAATACACATAATTATAAAATGTTAAGTATGCAATCAAAACTGAAATAGATTGACTCCTGACCGTGACATAGCATAAATATGTAAATGTGACTGATAATCTTAAAACCCAATACAACATAATTTTTCACAAACAACCAACAAAAAAAAATTAAACTTCTAACACCAACATAAACATGAATATTATATTAATTAGAACATTTAGTGGTCAATATTTCTTTGTGTTTAGTAAATATTCATGTGGAACTCAATTGTACCAGTTATAGTACTTAAGATACCTTTTAAGTTCAGAATAAAATTTACTTGTTTCATTACTGTTAATGGTGATGTTTGCTCTGTTGCTATCAGCTTGTTTGGAAACAGTGTTAAAACAATAACAATGGCACAAAAAAATGTTTCAATTTCAAAACTTTTGAATCTTGAAACTTGGTGATCGAATCTCGAAACCGAAACTTTTCCCAAGTGTTGATGGTTTTGAGATTTGAGATTTGGTTTTGACACATCACTAGTAACCATATAACTTAGAAAATTTGGTATACTTAAACTACCTACCTATTTAGGCCTAGGCAGGGTTTAGGCTAGGATGAAATTTGTTTCAGCAACATGCTGCAAACTCTCAGACAACTAAGTTAACTGTAGAAAAAATATTATTCAATAACTTAAGCATTTAAAACAAAAAGTTCCAGTAGGCTAATATTACGTTTGTTTGAACATTACATCTTTCAATTTTATTTGTAGAAAATTTGCCATAGGCCTAGCCTGCAAAACAATGTAGCATTTTTAAGTTGTGAATAGCAAGATGCTAAAAATACTACCGCAGCTTAAACCCTGGGCCTAGGCTTACTTAAAGCGCAACTACTCGACTCGACTTGATACTCGAGTTTTTACTCAAATACTCGACTCGACTCGAATTGAAAAATCACTACTCACCCACCCCTACTCTAAACTTACTAGTTTAGGAGCTACAGGATGCATAATGTAAACCAACAGCCTTTTTCTCTTAGGTGTAACACGCTTTTACTCCAAAACAAGTAGCTTTAGAGAAAAAAGGTCAAGAATAAAATCGTTTTTAAATTGCATTTACATTCCAAAAAAATCATAAAATACAGCGTGTTGCATAAGAAATAACAAAGTTGGTGGCCACGTTGGAAAAATTGTGACATATTTTTAAAATTTGAAACCATCCCAAAAAACTCTTAAAATTCTTAAAAAATAAAGGGGAGTACCACCCTGTATAATACGTATTATATTACTACCAACTGAATTACTAGTTTATGGGCCAAAGAGTTGAATTGTTAAACAGTTCTACCTTTTGTTGTACAGTAAAGTCATCATCAGGCAGTCGAGGAGTAGGCTCTAACTCATCTTCACTGAGGCACAGAGGAGAGTAGACACTGACAGGTGAGCTACGAGGTGAACAGTCGTCACTGAGAGGCGACCACATCCCTGGGGCTCCTCCTCCGTACTGAGGAGACATACCACTGCTACAGGGTGACACACTGCCAGCACTGTCACCAACACTCACACACTTGTCATGACTACGGCCGACCTTGCTGACAAACTCTGCCAGTGTCTTGATCAGGGTGGCCACTAGACCATTCTTTAGCAGAATCTGACAATCCAATGCCAAGATTAAAATTAGGCTTAGACAAGCATAAATTTATAAGAAATGTATATTACTATTGTATCACCAAATGGTTTTTAGTGTGGAAGTGGGTATATCCCAACTCAAATATGAGTGAGAATGTTTTACTTAGGCCTAATCAGACTGTTCATAAAAAAATCAGAAAAAATGGGCCTAAAGATTAATGATGAGAAGACAAAATATATACACTTCACGAGACAGCCAAATGAAGTGAGGACAAATGAAATTAGTATAGATGGACATACTTTTGAAGTTGTTGAACAATTTAAATATCTAGGGGTAATTATATCAAGCAGCAATAGTGAAGAAATGGAAATAAATTATAGGATTGCTCAGGCCAATAAATGTATGTATTCTTGTAAGAAATTGTTGACTTCAAAGATTCTCTCACATAAAACGAAAATAAAAATATATCATAGTATAATTCGACCAGTATTAACATATGGAGCTGAAACTTGGATTTTAAATAAAAAAGAAGAAAACAAAATGATTGTTTTTGAAAACAAAATTTTAAGAATGGTATATGGACCAATACAAGAAAATGGGGAATGGAGAAAAAGGCATAATAGGGAGATAAGGAATATGTACAATGATTATGATGTAGTAGCACACGTGAAAGCAAGGAGAATAAGGTGGGCAGGACACGCACTACGGAGAGAACGAGGTTCACTACTAAAAGAAGCAAGTATAGGAAAGCCAGAAGGGAAACGACCATTAGGAAGGCCCAAGAAGAGATGGTGGGATAGTGTTTCCAGGGACGTCAGAGAAGTGGGGGCAGAAGTGGAAGAGGCAGAAGATCGAGAGAGATGGAAAGCAGTTGTTGGTGCGGCCAAATCCCGCCTTGGGCATAAATGGCCATGGGAGTGAGTGAGTGAGTAATAGAAGAATATCTGGAAATGCTATTTTGTACTTAAAATATTGTGTACAGTATCATTAATAAGAACCATGAATGACAAGACCAAACATATAATTCATAAACAGTTATTTGTCAGAGACATAATCAAGAGAAAACTAGTTGTGCTGAATTACGTTCCAACTTCCAGGATGGTAGCGGACATTTTGACAAAATCACTTAGCAAAATCAAGCATGATGGTTTCATGACCGACCTTGGTATTACCTCAATGAAGGATCAAGATTAAGGAGGGGTGTTGGAATTTATTTGTAATCTTGTCATTGCCTTCTTGGTATTAAGTTTAAAGCAGCTGTCATGTATGATATTATATGCCATGTGTTTGCTATGTTTATTATTCGTTGTAAATAAACATCATTCCACTATGGACTTTAGAAACCATATTGTGTAGTCATTTTACTCCTAATTATTATAAAGGAAAACCAATTATAAACAAGTCATTACACTGATGAAATCGCAGAAGTGTTTACCACAAAAGATCTACCAATACGATTTTAATCTATAATATTAAAACGAAACAGTGTTTTTTATTTCACGATTCTGAATCAACCACTCGACGGATTTTCATGATTTTTGTGTTGAATGAAAGATAATTTTGAGAACTAGGGAATGTCGAAGCCATAAATTTAGTTTAGGGTCCCAGCTTTTTAGAAATTAAGTTTTAATTTTTAAAAAGTCTAGCAGCCGACGCTAAGATTTTTAACTAGCTTTTGGCATAAAATAATTTGCTTAACATAACAGCTGTAAACATCCAGCTTTTGTGTCACAAATTCAGCATTTAGATTAAAATATAAAGACATACTTAGGGTTGACTTATTTATACTATGTGTAATGCAAATCATTGATACGTTCAATTCTTCTGTAAGAGGATGACAGATTAATTAAATTATACATAGTAAAATACTAGGATGTTCAAATAATTTTTTTAAGCAATCTTTGTAATCTTCGATTTGTTTTAGAGCAATATAATTTGTTTTAACTAACAGCTGGTTAAATATAAACTATGGAACTATGAGGTTATTTTATTTACTCTTATTTTGTCATTGATTATAGGAAATAAGTAAGATTAGTAAAGATAATTAGACCACAGTTTAAAATAGTTTAGACCAAAATTAATTAAACCACAGTACAAAATCGAGGCTCTGTACACGAGTCTTAATAAAAAAGGATAAATGCAAATTATTTTACTATTCCACTTTTCGAGGAAAGAATAGAAAAATAACAATGTTTACATGTTTTAATTCTTCATGGTAGCTTTTTGTTTACAATTAATGTTTGTCTGCTTTAACTTTGTATGGATTAGGCCCGGAAATATTGATGTCATAAAAATAAGATCAAGAATAATCAGGGATCACGATTTTAAATTACCACCACAACCTCAGCCGAGTTTTATACAAAGATTGAACACAACGTCAACTTTGACCTAGGATACTGCATTAGACAAACCATCCTTTTATAAAATCGTGTTCAGTGTGGTTACGTTTGGGGGTGCCTATCAGCGCCCCCAAACGTGAAAATATCACTTTTATTTCAATTATGAATATATTGTAGTTTAAATTAACTAATATAGGAAATTACGATGTACACTTATTCAATGAGGGTAGGTAATTATTAAGGATAGAACTGATAACGGTATGGATAATAAACATTGACAATTACGTCATTAGCTTTACTAGCGTGTTTACTTGTTTACTTTTTATATTCCTGCTACATGTGACCAGTTCTTTTAGTAATCGTGAGTTCTTTTTTTTTCTAATGAATGTTATTTGAACCAAACAGCTGTTTCAAAACAAACTGTTATTGTTTTTACTTTTCTTTGTTTACACTTATTTATTTAGCAATTAATGCAGTGAAAATGATATAAAGGATAGGTGTGACGATTTATGTGTACTGTGAATTTTATTGGATATTATCGTTTTATTTTAGGTCGTTTCTATTCATACCTGCTGGAAAATGTGTATAGTAGTTGTATTGTGGTGATAATAATTATGGAAGAGGCAGGTATGCTATGGAAGGTGGTATCGTTGACTAAGTCTATACACTTCTCAATTGACTATTACTCTCTCTACTGTAGGCTACTTATAATTAGTGTGCGTCTGTACGAATCGGCTGCAAATCTCACTTCAACGCTTTTCACATCGTAAAAATTGCAGAATTGCTGTTTTATTGTAAAATTATCGGATTTAAAATGCATATTGTATAGGCCTATGATGGAATAAAAACATATTTGGTGACACAACATTTGTTTACAAGATGATTTTTCACATTAAAACTGCAAGAAACTTTGTCTTTATATGTGTAAATTAGCTGATCTGAATTGTACACGGTTTTAACTGACTACTGAATTCCCGTACGTAGGACGGGCTAACACCTCGTACTATTTAAAGGTACGAGTTAAAGGTAATACTATTTACTAGGTTCCACCTAGTAAGACTTATTATTTTACAACTATTGGAAAATCATTCAGATGATTCACATGATCAAAGGATGTGGCAAAACCATGCACAATTACCAGGGAAGGTTCAATGAGATACTTACATATAAACTTGTATCATCATAAAGAAAGTTGTTAAGAGCTTTCATTGCTTTGGCCTGAATAGATTTGCTTTTTGTCGACTGAAGGAGTTTCAAGAGTATTCCCAAGCCACCGGGACAGTTACGAACATGAGCTCGGCCAATAGAGTCTTGGCACAATAAGCAAAATATCATTGCTAGCCCTGCAACATGACAAGACATATTTATTTATGTATAAAAAGTTATGATTAGTTTCAGTTATACTAAGTCCATTGGGAGTGTTGCTGGAAGTCAAATGTCCGTTATGTCAAATAATTTATACTTGTGCCAATAGGTAAAAAATTACAATGTTTGCAGTGTCTGTAGGTCAAAATCCCATTGAGTCAAATAATAAATTCAGTGCTGAAAACATAGTCTTTTTTGAAACTCCTAATCTCATAACAGGGCTGCGAGACTTAGATCCAGAAATTATTTTGATAGCATTCGTCAATTCAATTCCGCCATTGTCATGCTCAGCCCCGAAGCTCATTTAGATTAATGGATCACACATGGGACTACAATCCATGACACGTTTTACCACCGAGTGGGTCCTCTAACTACTAAAAAAGGTTGTGATTTGAAAACACACAGCATTATTGGCATGACGTCAACGATAGAACCCAACAGTGCATGAAACAAAATTCAAAAAAATTTAATGAAAATCTCATGCGGGAAATAGGGCCACACCTTGAAAACACCAACACCTATGTCCAATCTTTTAAGATTGTGGCAGGAATTTGTAGGGACAAGAACTCCAAGCAGTCAAGTGAAGTTCTTAATGTACATAATAAAAGACAAAGGAAGTGACTTCTGTCCCTACAAAGATGCTAACTGTACAGATTTCGTAGCTATTTTTAAAGATGAAAACAGAGAACCACCTGACCAAACAAATCATATAGTTGTTTTTCATAAATAATGTTAGACGCCTATCTTCTCTATATCCGTTATTAGATCCACTTCTGTTTCCAACCAGAGATTTTAGTTTGGACCCCTCATTAAAACATGCTCAAAACAGAACGAGCATAGAAATAATTTGACAATGCTAGAGTATGCGTCGTACCAGTTGGTGTCAAGACAGGGATTTAACTTGCTACATAGGTCTGAAAAGCTCACTTTAGAGTGGGTGGTTGACATGTACGTGAGCGTAGAGGGTACCCGCTTACAGTAAGAGATAAGCAAAGCAGTCTGAGATCGGATCTATATTTAAATATTGTAGATTACTTATATAATTTTTTACAACATAATATTTTTCATGTTTTAATAAACAGGGTTAGGCAAAAGTCTGTATCCCCCCAGTTAACTTTTTAACACGTTGCAGTAGGAAAACCAAACTTGACACATATTTACAACATAAGAAATTGCACTTTTTAAACAAAGTCACAACTTTGCCCCAGCCCCAAAAATGGGGTATTTTGGGGGCAGCCCCAAATTTTCAAAAGTAAACACCTATCATGTGACCCCTAATTTTAAAGGTTTTATCAAGAGAAATTGAATGGCACAAACCAGAGGGTCAAAATGGCAGCCATGTTAATTATTTAACGTGGACAACCCCAGTTAACTTTAAAAATTTAATATTTTAATACTGACCAAAAGGTAAATTCTCTTTATTTATTTTTATAAAGGTATGCTGAGTTTAGTTTTCCTGCTATAACCTGTTAAAAAGTTAATAGGCGATATTTAAAAATGACTGCCATTTTGATTAGGGGTGCGATATTGACCTCTAGTTTGCGCCATTTAATTTGTCTTGAGAAACCCTTTAAAATGAGGGGTCACATTATAGGGGTTTGCATTTGGAAATTTGGGGCTGCCGGGTACAAGTTCTAACTGAAATGAAAAAGTGCATTTTTAAATGTTGTAAACATGTGCCGAGTTTGGTTTTCCCACTGCGACACGTTATAAACAGCGAACACAGAATAAAAATAGAAGGGCCATGTGGTATATACAACCATTACTAGGATTGTCGCCAGTTCCGCCATCTTTGGGGCGGCATCAGGTTGAAAATAGCGCTTAGGAACGGAGAATTTTGTAGTGCGCGCTTTTCATTAATACCGCTGTTCGACATACTTAGAGTCAAGATAAAAATTTGAAACTCAGCACAATTAAACTATTTTAATTGTGGATCCTAATGGTGTAATTAAAAGTATTATTTTAACTTCAATGCAATCTTAATACCTAATTGAAGTTGACTGTTTGCAGTAATTTTTAAATCGTGACATGAAAAAGTTACTCAGTGAGGAAGTTTTTTATTTTTTGGTCAGGAAAGTTTCGTCTGTGGAAAAGTTTGAGAGCATGAGTTAAACCTTAACATATGTTTTTGGGGGAATTTTACGATCTTTGGTAATTCAAATAAATAAAGTTGAAGAGGGAGTAATATCCGTCCTACGGTGCGGCGAGGACCAGGCGCTGAGCGCTGCCACTGCAACCAGGTTGTTGCATAAATAAATACAAACTAAATATACGTAAATAAAATAAAATTTATAATAATAATAAATTTCCATGTGATACAGGCATGTGAATCGTAAATGGAGTATTGCAACTTCATGCATAAAAATGAGATCATGGAAATACAAAGTTTGGTCGTTACCGACGTGTATTTATTTTTAAATAATGGTTTATTACTGTACTGCGTAGCTTATTTTAGAAGCTTGAAAAATATGTTAGCTTTATACACAAACTTACAGCCTTACTATTCAACCGATTAAAACCTCTCTTCTTTTAGTTTTGAGATTTGAATGGCGGTGCAATCTTACAGTGACGTATCTTTTACAAACAGATTTGATTAAAAGAAGTATAATATGGCTATGTTCAAATTCCATTTCAAAACAGTGCTCTCCTGTTTTGAGGCATTTGCAAGACGTACAGTATAAAGTAAAACATAAAACAAGCAGGGTGTGTGCGACTATGCCAACGAATACGGTACGGTGTGCGCACACCACTACAGTGACTCATCCGCAGCGGACGCCATCTTGGTGGCGGCAGCAGTGTAAAAGTGGCGACAGCTTTCGTCTCGAGGTAGCCCTTCTATTTTTATTCTGTGTTCGCTGGTTATAAACTTTACTGGGGGTGTCCAGACTTTATCTTGCATGCTCATCTTAAATTAAAATGGCTGCCATTTCGATTAAGGGTGTGATATTGACCTCTGGTTTCCGCCATTCAATTTCTCTTGATAAACTCTTTAAAATGAGGGGTCACATGATAGGTGTTTACATTTGAAAATTTGGAGCTGCCTCCAAAAAAAGCAATTTTAACCTAATGAAATACCTATTTAAAAAAAAATGTTCAAAATGTCCTTTCCATTAATAAATTTTTTCTCAATTTTCCTAAATACTGGAGCCTAAAATTACCTTTATGCAGGCTATAGGTACAAAATGACTCTAAATTACTTCCTTCTAAATATTTAGCTAGAACTTAACAGGCAACTTAGTTTAACAAATTCAAAGAGCCACTTTTCTTTCCAAGGTTGGTAACCTATATTAAATTTAACACTTCTGGTATGGTATATATTGTTTTGATTTGTTGTGAAAGTGTTTTTTGTACAAATAGGCCTAGGCCTAAGTTTTATTTTCTTAATCCCTTAATATAACGAACCTACTCTAATGAAAAATAATCAGTTACAAAAATTGAAATAGGGATACCGTATTTTGTTTTAAAAATAAAACTAATGAAGTAGCCTTATTTAAAATGAGGTACCGATGGTACCGGAACCGAGAATCGATTTTGGTTAGGAACCGGTACCAGTACCAACAATGAAAAAGTGGTACCTACCCATCACTATAATTAACCCTAGCAGTGGCCAATGTAAGAAGTGTGGAATGGCCAACTTATTTTGGCGATTGTGCAGACCTTTTTTTTGAAAATTCGTAAAAATTCAACCGTTGAAATAAACCTAGCCAATCTCATATTCATTTTGTTTGGAAAGAACAGGAGAATATAGAAATAGTAATATAATAATGGTTTAGAAAGTGCTTTTTTTTTCTTCGGTAAAGTGAAAAAAATTTAAACATTTTTTTTTTCTAATGTAACCTGTATCAGGGTGTCTACCAAATTTTCCAAATGAAATTCACCTCTTTTTCATGACTTTTCCCGACTATTTTGTTCAAAATTCCCGACTTAGCGTTATGTTTACACAATACTTGTTGCTTTCCCTGTGAAAATCAGAGTCACCATCTATATAAATAAAATTACAGTTTTGTCTGTACATTGCTTAGAATCATGCAGTTTTAGCGAATTTCCCATATAGGGAATAAGCTATTACCGTAGTACTCATGGTAAGACCTGGACGCGGGACCGATTTTTTTTTTCGTTTTGAGGTCCCTAGGGGCTAAAATCACCATCCGTTCAAATTCATATATATATATATATATATTTATATATTTATATATTTATATATATATATATGTGTCCGTTAGCACGATAACTCGAGCAAAAATGATCCGATTTTGATGAAATTTGGTACAAACGTGTAAATCTACGTTTATTCGAACGAGTTCGCGATCCAGCATGATCGGCCCATGGGAACGTGGGTTTACGGGGGGTTTTATGGGGTAAAAATAGGTTTTTCCCATTTTTGACCAAAAAAACATAAAATTTAGCATTTTCTTTCCAAACCATTTTGTAGAGCTCTAAAAAACAAATAATTTAGTATATTGAAGTGTTATTATGCGCCTAATGGTTACGGAGAAAATTCCAAAAGTTGTAAATTTAAAATTCCCATGTTATTCTTATGGAGAATAAGTCAACTGTTGTAGTTTGCTTGTTTATGAACATATTTTGATCAAATTTGGAAAATGTTTTTATTTCTTACTAACTATTAACATTTTACAAAAAAAAAAACAGTTTTACCCTCCCTGATGCAGCAAACCTAAGTACTTGTTAAACTAATTCTATTTAAATAGGGAATAAATTTTATATTTTTAAGTACACATTTCAGTGTAAATCCTATCAGTCAAATGGAAATTCGCTTAGTCTGCAGGTTTGCTGCGGCGGGGGTATTTGGTTATTTTTACGTTTCATAGCCTAAGAAAGCCGAAACGAGTCTTATCTCAATTTCTGTCTGTTTGTCTGTCTGTCCATTCTGTGACTCCGTCTGTAACGCCAAAATGTCATTTTACGCGGCCTACTCCTAGAAAACTAGAGTACCGATCAAGGTTCTAATCATTTTTCTGTATTTACTGGAATGGCGAGATTGTCTTTGGCTATAAAAACATGGCCTCGCTTCTTTGAAAACAAAATAACGAACCATCAAAAAGCCAATTTTGTTCGATTTTTGTCAAATTTTATCCCAATGTTTACTATTACTTCTATGAAATAACGATCAGCTGTTTGGATTAGTTCTCACTTCTAGCTGTCACTGATATGTTTACATTAAAAGTTGTTTACAAATACCGCAACCATTTTTTTGTTAGCATATCCAAACCAAGTGAGATTAAAAACGTTGTGCCTTACTTAACCGGTTTAATTAATCGCAAGTGCAACGATTGTTCTTGAGTTTTGATAACCGGGGAAAATACTGCGAATCAGTGTTGTATTAGTGCTGGGAAACTTACATTTTTTTAACCATCGTCACCAATAGCTTACACAAAAAAGGTTTCCACTCATTGACGGCGCATCAAGGACAGTTGTGTAAAGTGAAAAGTAAAAAATCACAACTGCAGTGGGTGACTGGGTGATCGTGGATGTTGCTGCGATCGTGGAAGATCTTTCTGACTTCGCTGTGATCGTAACAGAGGTTTAACTTACAGATGTAGCTAAACTCGCTTTTCCAATGTGTCACTTTGGTTTCTACTTACAGTACTTACATTTCGACAACGATATCGGTACTTTTCCAAAACTACAAACGTCCAAAACCCCAGATTTGTGCGTTTTTTGTCACATTTCCTCCGAATATTTGCTAGATATACCGATTGTCGTTTAGAGATTACGTAATCTTTTAAATCTTCTTTGTTTGGATAAAGGTGGTTTCTTCAAACTGTCATTAATATGTTAACATTTAAAGTTGCTTACAAATAATGCTATTAATGGGAAATAACTTTGATTTTCGAAAACTAAAGAAAACAAGGGATATTAATAACTTTGGTACTGCACCGTATTAAGTGACAGTTTTTTTTATTCAACCATAGTGAGTGTTTAAAGCTTTACATTGTTAACGTTACATGTTACATGTTTCGTGGCCTGTGTATTTATTTATTTGCCAACGGATTAACACACCAATTTTACAGTTTGATTAGGCCTAAAGACGATTATCATAAAACTTGATGACACTATCAAAACTTTCAAATAGGCCTAATTATTTTGTTTGTGATTTGCTTTGGTTAAAGCGTAGCGAATCCCCTAATTCAATTTTGTATTTGTGTGTGTATGTCTGTTGGTAACGCATTAATGTCCTTATTTCTCAGTGTTTCGTGGAAAAGACAAGAGCGCCTTTCTTAATGAAAATTTCAACCCGAATAAAGTGAATTAGTGAGTCGGTGGCTCAGTTGGTAGTGTCGCGGACTTTGGGCCCAAGGCAGCGATGTCGTGGGTTCGGATCCTGGTCACTGCCACTAAAATTTATCAGTACAGTTCACCTTTGTACTGTACTAACTTGCTTTGCTGTAAAGGTTCCACGCACGGGAGGTTAGTCATGTGGACGGGCAAATCCAAGGTAAAAAGAGGCTGCCAACCTCTTTTTTGAAAGTAAAGTATAGTGTGCAGTAGTGAGGTTAAGGTAGTATTTTAACTACTTTTAACGAGTGTCAAAAGTAACTTTCAATTACAGGCCTACATTAGGGCTATGCCTCATAGATCTATAAAGCAATTCCTTTTACAAATGCAAGGTTAAAAGAGGCCGCCAACCTCTTTTTTAAAAGTAAAGTAGTAAAGTAAAGTGTGCAGTAGTGAGGTTGAGGTAGTATTTTAACTACTTTTAACCAGTGTCAAAAGTAAGTTTCAATTACAGGCCTACCTTAGGGCTATGCCTCATAGATCTATAAAGCAATTCCTTTTATCATTAAATATAACACGATCGGGTGACATTTAATTGCGAAGCATTCGTTTTGGCTTTGAAACTGTCAGATATTGTATTTGCGAAGGTTTATATGTATTTCTATACAGTAATAGTTTTTCCAACATATCTGGAAAAATGCACACTAAATATGCAAACCAACTCCTGTTCTGAATAAAGGTTTCAACTTACTACAAGATTCCCGTACGTAGAACGGGCAAACAGCTAGTACTTCATAAATTGTAAGTGTGATGGCAATGTGATGTAGTCTACTTTTTACTACCAACACTGTATAAGCATTTGTTTCAAAACCATAAGTTATGTATTGTCGGGACCACGTAAGTTTGCAGTTGGCGGCAGCCAATCACAAGACAAGGCTAGTGCGACGTTGCCACATCGCCTGTTGACAACACAAATTAAAATATACTAAGCAATATTTTGAAATCAGCTTGTATTATGAGATTTGGCAACACCGCACGGTTCTCATTGGTTCATTCAAAACCATATGGTAAATAGGCTCCTCCCTCAACTGCAAACTTACGTGGTCCCGACAATAGACTAAATCGATTATGACTAGACTAATCTATTGATGGAAACAATCGATTTCAATCTATTGATTGAATAGTAGTGAATGAAGTATGGAGTACGATTAAGGTCTCATATTTGACCAACGAGCTTAATTAATACTTACTGGCTTACATGGTTGCGATGCGAGCTCGATGGAGACTTTAATTTACAGACAACCCTTGTATATAGCTAGACTATAACTTACAGTGCTCAATTGAGGACGTGAGTCTGGTAACAACAGCCTCTACAAGACCATCCTTAACTAGTTGCAAGCGTGCCATGTCCAACAAGCACAAGTTGTAGAGACACAAGTTGGCCAAGGTCTCCCCTGTCTCCTGCACCAGTAGACGGAGGTCAGAGCGACCACCCTGCACCTACCAACAAAATACACTCATTACACTTTAGCAGCAAGTAGGCCAAGGTCTCCCCTGTCTCCTGCACCAGTAGACGGAGGTCAGAGCGACCATCCTGCACCTACCAACAACGTACACTCATGACACTTTAGCAGCAAGTAGGCCAAGGTCACCCCTGTCTCCTGCGCCAGTAGACGGAGGTCAGAGCGACCACCCTGCACCTACCAACAAAATACACTCATGACACTTTAGCAGCAAGTAGGCCAATGTCTCCCCTGTCTCCTGCACCAGTAGACGGAGGTCAGAGCGACCATCCTGCACCTACCAACAACGTACACTCATGACACTTTAGCAGCAAGTAGGCCAAGGTCACCCCTGTCTCCTGCACCAGTAGATGGAGGTCAGAGCAACCATCCTGCACCTACCAACAACTTACACTCATGACACTTTAGCAGCAAGTAGGCCAAGGTCACCCCTGTCTCCTGCACCAGTAGACAGAGGTCAGAGCAACCATCCTGCACCTACCGACAACCTACACTCATGACACTTTAGTAGCAAGTAGGCCAAGGTCTCCCCTGTCTCCTGCACCAGTAGACGGAGGTCAGTGCGACCATCCTGCACCTACCGACAACCTACACTCATGACACTTTAGCAGCAAGTAGGCCAAGGTCTCCCCTGTCTCCTGCACCAGTAGACAGAGGTCAGAGCAACCATCCTGCACCTACCAACAACCTACACTCATGACACTTTAGCAGCAAGTAGGCCAAGGTCACCCCTGTCTCCTGCACCAGTAGACAGAGGTCAGAGCGACCACCCTGCACCTACCAACAACCTACACTCATGACACTTTAGCAGCAAGTAGGCCAAGGTCTCCCCTGTCTCCTGCACCAGTAGACGGAGGTCAGTGCGACCATCCTGCACCTACACACAACTTACACTCATGACACTTTAGCAGCAAGTAGGCCAAGGTCACCCCTGTCTCCTGCACCAGTAGACGGAGGTCAGTGCGACCATCCTGCACCTACCAACAACCTACACTCATGACACTTTAGCAGCAAGTAGGCCAAGGTCTCCCCTGTCTCCTGCACCAGTAGACAGAGGTCAGAGCGACCACCCTGCACCTACCAACAACCTACACTCATGACACTTAAGCAGCAAGTAGGCCAAGGTCTCCCCTGTCTCCTGCACCAGTAGACGGAGGTCAGTGCGACCATCCTGCACCTACCGACAACCTACACTCATGACACTTTAGCAGCAAGTAGGCCAAGGTCTCCCGTGTCTCATGCACCAGTAGACAGAGGTCAGAGCAACCTTCCTGCACCTACCAACAACCTACACTCATGACACTTTAGCAGCAAGTAGGCCAAGGTCACCCCTGTCTCCTGCACCAGTAGACAGAGGTCAGAGCGACCACCCTGCACCTACTTTAGCGGCAAGTTTGTGCATTTAGTCAGAACACATAAAATTATAAAAACTAGAGTGTACGGGCCGGAATTTTAGTCCCGGACTTTTACCCCACTTCATTAGGTCAGCTCAAAATGTACGGCCCGGAAATTTTAACCCCGGAATTTTACCCCCTGGCCAGATATAGAAATAAGTGAGAATGATAAGTTTTCTTCTTTCAGTTTTAATTTAATAGTAAACATGTTATTATTATCCTATCGATATTATTAGCCTATCTGTACTACATCTGTGCATGGAAGCCCACTTTGTTGGGTGACTGTAGGAAAAGGCATATTGTGATATTGTACAACAGAATCAAAATAAATTGTATTTCCACGGTGGTATAATAAATCGTTTAAGAAATGTTCACCCAATCATATATATTAAAACGTGACAGGGTTTTTTATTTCACGATTCTTAATCAACCACTTCACGGATTTTCACGATTTTTGTGTTGAAAGAAAGATAATTTTGAAAACTAGGGAATTGCTATGATACCATTTGCTTAACGTAACAGCTGTAAACGTTCAGCGTTTGCGACACAATTTCAGCATTTGGATAAAAATGAAATACTAGATGTACTATTTTTTTGTGTGGTTTAAATAATAATAATATTTGGTTAAATCAACTGTCCGAGTTTTCACTTGTCCGAGTTTTAAAATTATTTAAAAAATATCAAAATATCAACTGTCCGAGTTTTCAACTGTCTGAGTAGGGTCAACATCAAATGTGACACTGCGCGCCGAGACTAGCGTGTCTAAGGCGCCTGGTCAGAAGCCGATGTAAGCCTCTTCTGCGAAGGAGTCAGCTAGGAGGATTAAACATTAAAGAGAGGACACGCTGTAGTTTCGTTGAAGCCAGCGTACTGGGGAGGGGGAGAGGCAGCGCTACTCTCCTGCTCCCCCTCTCATACTGCGTTGTATGGGTTACTGGGAGTGGGAGATTTGGTAACAGAAGTATCAATTAACTATTTAAAACTTCATCATGCTACGAAAATTAAAAACTTAAATTCTAACCACAATATTAGAATATAAAATAAGTTTTAATCCTTTAAAAGAATGATAAACGCACTTTGGCGTCAGAAGACGCGATGATTGTTGAACATTTTACACTTTTTACTTGAAGTTTCTTTGGGCTAACAGATCATATATAGTTGAATATGATATTAAAAAATCTAGAATTTGATTGCCAAGAAATTGCTTTACTTTTTATGTTTGTAATTTAATTGTAACGGCTGTTGGTGTAAAAAAAGTTAGAGCGGCTTTACATTTTTTCTTAACTTTAGCTATTTAAAATCACCTGACTAGCACATAAATCCCTTAAAACTAGTAAAACATGGTATTAACAAATCGAGAGAACTATGAAAAATGCAAATTTAAAATGTATTTCACCACCCGAATTAAATTTTTCATTTTAACCTCTAATAAGTAAGATTGTTTTATGAACTGGAAAAATTAAAAAAGATTTATTGTAATTATTTTTCTAAATACCACTCTTAAATATAGCTAAATATATATTTTTTATTTCGCGAAACTATTAAGGAATACGAATAAATTGTTAATTTGTATAGATACATCATATTTTTTTCAAAAACGTAATTAAAGTAATGATATGTTCAAAGTCCAGGCCAATTCTTTCAACTTTGATCTTCAGTAATAAATAATAAACATTTGTTTTTATAGAAATTATAGACACCGTTCGATAGGAAATTTAATTTACTTTAAGAATGCCATCGGTGAATAACACAGGTGTTATGGTTTAGCGACAATTTTAATTCGAAACAGCGCGCGTCGCGTTTTTCCCTATCTCTCCCATGTTATAGCCGCGGCTTTTTGCCACTCTACGGCTCCGTGTGCCCCTCTAGTGTTCTGCTAAAGCTGGCTTCACCGCAACATGTGTATTCCTATTCGCGTGCCCTCTCCTTAATGTTTAATCCTCCTAGGGAGTCAGGCATTGTGCGAGCCGCGAGAGCCCCTCATGTCGACTTAAGAAACTGTTTACTTTCCCCATAGCAGCAAACATAAGCACTCGCTTATTTATGGAAATACTAGCAGAATACGGTACCCGTCCTTCGTACGGGGTTGGCATATAAGTATAAAATGTTTATTGCAGTTATGCTCATAAGCTTTCTGATTGCAATGGGGAAGGACACAGTTTGATAACATTTGCTTCTCTAAATTTAAGGTATACTATAGTATTACACATCTACCATAGCCATAATGTTCTACCACTAAAAAAATATTATTAAAAATTCTCAAAATATCACAAATTATTCATGAAATTAAAAACAGAAACATAACTGTAATCAATCCTTCATTGACAGTTCTCATTGTGTATCACAGTTTTATAAATGCAAAAGAAATAGTGCTGCACCCTGTTGGTAAATCTTATAACTTTTTAAGGCTTTTGCATATCATAAAACAAACCTTTTTATTTGAAACAGCACACTAAATTTGCTACGCTCACTCACCTCATAGTTATCTTGCTCTCTGTTTTTATTTATCTGTATCTTTCTGTATATATTGGGATAAATAAACGTATTTCATTTAATTTCACCTTTAGGTTGGAGCTCGTTCGCTGCGCTCACTTGCCTTTAGGTTAGCTCGTTCGCTACGCTAACTCGCCTCCAGATTGAAGTTCGTTCGCTACGCTCACTCACCTTTTGGTTGCAAATTAGCTGTGTTATAAATAAAAAAAAAAAAATAATAGTGCTGCACCCTGTTGGTAATCCTTGTAACTTTTATGCTATTGAACATCATAGAACAGAACCAACTTGTTTAATTGAAACAGCTGTTAAGATTCTTTAATTCCATTTAAATATGAGTACTCATAAGGTTAACATGGGAAACTCCAGAGCCACTGGGGCGGAGCCCGACAGCCCGATCAGAATAAAAACTACTTAGTTTTCCTATTTAATGCCCAAAGATTCGGTGTACCGAATTTCAGCCACCTAGGTAAATGGGAAGTGGCAGAATTAGTGATGAGTGAGTGAGTCAGTCAGTCAGTGAGTCAGTGAGGGCTTTGCCTTTTATATATACAGTCCACTCTTGGTAATTCAAACACTTGATAATTCAAAACATTCGATAATTCAAAATGAAGGCTCAGTCCCTAGAGAATCTCTCAATATTTCAAATTTTTACCATGCATTTTGATACACTCGGTATCAAAGTTTCGTCGGAAAAACACGCTATAATTCGAAGTAACTCAGTATTTCGAAGTTCGTCGGTTGACACTCTATAATTCGAAGTAACTCAGTAATTCGAAGTTCGTCGGTTGACACTCTATAATTCGAAGTCATGCTGTAATTCGAAGTTTCGTCGAAAAAACACTCTATAAATCAAAGTCACACAGTAATTCGAAGTTTAGTTGGCAAAACACTCTATAATTCGAAGTGATCTCTTCCTGTTATAACAGGAAACTATACAGTACAGTACATCCTGTTCCCATGGTAGGCTAGTGTTGGAAGTTTTGATGTTTGTTTGGTTAAGCCCCGTTTCCATCAAACATTTTCTGCTCAAAACATTGTTCTCAGCTAAACTCACAACAAAGTTGGAGTAAAATGTTGAATGGAAACACTA